TCCGTCTAGCTGCTCTGCAACGATAATCCAATCTGAGCAGAATCCGTAGCACAGTTTTCGGGCTCATCCCACCAACTTTGGCCACTTCTGCGTCGTTAATCTGGGATCCATTTCGATGCTCCTCTTGGCAGCCCTTTTTGTCCTCTCCGATGGACCCGGACGCTGCTCAGTCGTTTCCTTGTCGTGTTTCCTGAACTGCACGATGATTCTGTTGACTGTCGAAATTCCCAAATTCTGCGAAATTTGCCGCTGACTTATTCCACCATCTGCTTGACCAACTATACTTCCTCTAACAAAATCTGACAATTCGAGAGAACCTTGAGTTCCAGGCATGTTGTAGCACAAGATAATTAGTATGCGGCCCATTTTCGTTTATATAGTTCTCTGTGAACACAAATTAGTTAGCATAAATCAGTTAAATGACGAAAAATTAGGCGTCTATTTACTTGTGACCACTCAGTGTATAGTATTATTGTTAGATCACAAGGAATAAATCACTGATAAAGCCCCATATATTCGTCTAAGTTAACAATGAACTTTTAATTACTAGTATCAGAAAAACAAAATGGTGAGGATTTTTTAAAATATTTCCACATTCAAAATGAAATATTATTAACAAGCTTCTGAAAAATCGTTAAAATTCCAAGTTATATGATATGCTTTCTGTGCACCCATGATTTTATCTATTACTGCCGACTATTTATGGCAAAAAAAAATAATTGGTATGGTAACATTAACTTGGGGGGGGGGCTTTTGAAAAAAGAGTCTGTTGCAAAAACAGAACAGGTGAATAACGTGGCCTTGGGTTGTCCCTGTGGTGGGGTTTTGGATTTCGGAGAGGGCTCGAGTCCGTGTGATACCACAAAATATTATTCGTTGTAAGTGCGTCATAAGAGTGGCAGTCAATCCCTCAGTATGGATAGTAGGTAGTAGGATGTCGCTGAATGACTGTGTTCCCTTTCGTCAGTTGTCTAAAATTAGGACTTCGGCAGATAGCCTTAGTAGTTTTGCCATAAATACAAATACCTAGTAATGCATGGATAATAAACGAAGTCTTTTGTTTTTGCACAGGGTTGACAGCGAAGACGTTAACTAACCATTAATTGTAGTATATGTGTGTGTCTATATATATATATATAGCACTTATTAATTACCAGAGCAGCGCCCTTCAGTGGTTCAGCGGTATATCTACAGACTTACAACGATAGAATCCAGGTTTCGATACCCGTGGTGGACAGAGCACAGATAGCCCATTGTGTAGTTATGTGCTTAATTACAAATAAACAAATGCTAGAGTAGCTATGCATTATAATAATCAAAAAAGGAACTAATTTACATGTTTACTCTTGTTTGTATATCTTACTGGCTTCTCGCATAAGGTAATAGATCCTTACATTCATTACTTCTGGACCGGGCGTAGCTCTGTGGTTATCATGCCTAGTCTGTGAACTGATGGTTATTGATTCGTGTGCCATTGACGTAAGAACGCACTTTGAGGCTATGGGTACGCTATAAGAGTGACGGTCAAATCCCACTATTCGATTAGAATATCCCAATAGTTGGCTCTGGGTGCTGTTGACTAGTTGTTTTCCCTCTTGTCTATGAGTTTAAAATTAGAGACGGCTAGATAGTTCTTTGTATAGCTTCTCGGGAAATTCAACAAAATAATTAGTTTGTTTCAGATATTCGCGCAGAGCTATGTAAGGAATCTGCGCTAGCTGTCCCTAATTTTGAACTGATAGGCTAAAGGGAAAGCAGCTAGTAAATAGCACCCACCGCCAACTCTTGGTCTACTCTAATAAAAAAGATAGATTTTACAGCCACTCTTATAACGCACACAATTCCACCAAAGTATGGAGCGCTTTTTTTTATGTCAACGGGATACGAACCGTTCACCATGCTAAATACTAGACTATGCCCAGCTAATAATCAGTTAGACAGTAATATTTTAAACAGTAAATTTCTTATAAATTATTAGATGAGGATAGTTCTTGGCATGCAGCTAATTAGTAGCAGCTTAAAGTGTAGGGGAGACGGTTTTGTAGCTGAGATGTGAGGATTATTCTATCAAAGTAAAATTTCACGACTGCTGTAGTGAAGTATTTAGAAAAACAGTGAGGGGTCATGTCCACCTCATCCCTCGTGTAACTTACGCATGTTATTAATAAGACAGTAAATTGTATTACACATATAATGTATTAATACTACAGCTATATATTTTTAAACATTGAAGAGGTATTTTTATATAGTTTAATTCATAACTTATCAACTCATTTATTATACAGCTAACTAGTCTTAAATATTCAAGGAATATAATAAGATGGAACAATTCCACAGTTATCTTTATATAGTTTAATTCATAACTTATCAACTCATTTATTATACAGCTAACTAGTCTTAAATATTCAAGGAATATAATAAGATGGAACGATTCTACAGTTATCTTTATATAGTTTAATTCATAACTTATCAACTCATTTATTATACAGTTAACTAGTCTTAAATATTCAACGAATCTAATAAGATGGAACGATTCCACGGTTATTTTTATATAGTTTAATTCATAACTTATCAACTCATTTATTATACAGTTAACTAGTCTTAAATATTAACGAATCTAATAAGATGGAACGATTCCACGGTTATTTTATATAGTTTAATTCATAACTTATCAACTCATTTATTATACAGTTAACTAGTCTTAAATATTCAAGGAATCTAATAAGATGGAACGATTCCACAGTTATTTTTGTCTTATGGTTAACTTTTAAACAGGAAGTTTTTACACAGGCCCACCTAGTGTGCAGTAAAGTACTTGTTTTAAACAGATGATAGTTAATACGTTTCGTTACGTGGAGAGTTTCGTGAGGTACAAGGAAATCAGTGGGACATCAACATTGTCTTAAAAGAGTATTGTTGTTCGTCAATACATAATGAACTTGACGAATCACGTTTTTGCTTAAAGACAAAATTCAAACATTAACATTCGATAAATATTTATACACTGATTAGCTTCTTTATTACATTACAAGAGTGTTCAACAATCCATTAATTTTCTCGTGCAAAACAGGCTGATCATGTGATGTGGCACATGGTTGCGTGAGTCCTAAAAACGAGACGTTTTCTAATCTGACAGAGGATGAGTAGGAGCCATGAAGATTCTTTCCGATTGGCAGATCAAATAAATCTCTCGATAGAGAATGAGAGATGACTGACTAAGAGAAAAGGCGATTTAATAGGCTTGAAACCCAAACGTTGTTTTGGAAAGGATTATTTTTCTCTGTTAAAACTGTACCCATGGGACCAATAAGGAGATGATGATGCACGTGGAAATAACCGAGAAAGATTCCAGAAACAGAAAGCAATAAAACATTTTCATTTATTTAGTTAGGTTTATTGATGTGCGTCAACTAGCGAAGATCATGGAATATGTAGTGTAATTTTAATGTAGTAAACCACTTGACATTTCATCATTACTATATATTTTTTTCAAATTATCACGATCTTACGCAGTAGAAGATATATTAGATTATTATTTTTTTTACAAAAGCAATAATTATTTTTTTCTTTCTTTTTTTTAGATACACGATGCTGTTTGTAAATATTGGTTGTAGGATAATTGTTGTTTGAATAAACTCTGAAAATTAGTATCCTTTTCCACTTATATTTAGTATCTTCTCATCACTTGTTCTTTATGTCTCGGGTCCAAAATTTTTTTTGAGTTTTGAAAATGTTAGCAATGGGAATCACAAATCAGTTAAGAGAAAAAAGTCCAGTACTTTAAAAAAAAGATTATATCCGTCATGACAAACATGTGTTAAGTAAGTCTAGTTCTTAAATAATCATTAAAATAATAAGATTACTTTAAATAGGAAATAATGGAAAAAACAAACAAACGTAACACGCATAGTACTGGACTCGCCACTTACCTAATAAGAAGGAGAATGTTTTTAAACAGGGAACACAGAATAAGACATTTTCATAAAGAATACTTTTTAACCACCTATTTATTCATTATAAATATAACATTGTCTTAAATAGGGAATAATTTTTAAAAACATATAGTTCTGTTTACTGTATAGGTATTCAATAGCAGACTAGCCTTAAAATGGACTCTTCAATAGAATATTCTTGATCCACTAGCTGATAATTATAACACTAATATTGTCTTAAACAGAGGGAGTGGTTATTTTAATGTTTACAGAAATTTTATGTCTCGACAACTAAACACTATTAGTATCAAAAAAGGGTATATTTCACTAAACGTTCAAAACGTGTTGTTCTTGTATTACAATTGGTTTAGTAATGTAAGAATATTCAAAAGCAAAACGAAGAACAAACAAATATAGATAAAACGTGATAAAACCTGAAAATCAAGAAAAAGAGTTAAATGCGTTATAAGAGGAAAAGAAACACGTGGTCAATGTTTGAGCCAAACGACCTTTATCGGGGTAATTGTGACAACGTTTGGGCCGAATGACTTTCATCAAGACACTGTGGTCAACGTTTGGGTCAAACGAAAGTTATCGTCCAAAATTGGACCACGTATTTCTGTTTGAAATACAACGATATTAATCATTGTCTTCAGTACAACCATATTGGTTTAAAAAAGAAATAGATGACAAGACATTCGCAGAGTTCAGTTTTTGATCATCAGTTGAGCAATATCCTTATCTTAAATAGGAAGTTAAATACCATTAAGGTGCTCGCAAAAATAGCTAATTGGATATTACATATTAGCATATGCCAAATTTTAAAGTAAAACAAAACATCTTTTTCAGTATCCAAATTTACATCCATACCTTTCCAAAAATTGGTTTCGTCTTTCGGTAATTAAATATGTCAACTGAAAATCACTGTAGATTAATTTTATACATGTACTATAATCTCGAATTCAGAGATGTTCTCCTTTAAATAAATTTAAACATAATTGAATACACACTCACACAAATATCTTCCTTTTGCATGTTATAATAATATTTTGAATAGACTTGTTCATGTCAGAAGTAGGAGGTGGGAGGTGTGTATTTTGCTTGAATGATCAATAAGGAGCAACTAATTTACTAACAGTTTGTAATGTATTCTCGCTATACTCCCGATATTTATGCAAACAGATTTGTCAGAAGTTTTATCTGCCAATCAAAAGATCGCCACCCTGTAATGGCCTATAATATTTGTTAATACACGTTTTGTCGGATAAAGTCGAATCGCTAAAGGTTCCATACGTTTCAGTTTGTCGACCACAGAATGAGAACACTTATTATACTGCTTTAGGCTATTCCTTGACTCGGCGTTCCCGTCGTTGCGCGTGTATTTTCACAAGGCTAGTACCCCTTTTATACAGTTAGTGCTTGTACCAGCTGGCCTCCGAGAGGAACTGGTATATACACGTTCTTAACACTACGTTTCCTCCACACACGCTAACAGGTCCATGTTACAGGTGGGACGCGTGGAAAGTCTTATTAAATTAACGTTACGCTGCAACTTGAGTAGAAGAGTCTTATGCGTTGTATAAATCGACTGTTGTGGTGTGTGTTTAATATTATTTTATGAGCACTGGTGTTGGATATTTACATTAAGAGTAAATACATATTTTCTTTCTTTACGTATATGTAGTAATTTTAAACTATTCTTATTATTTGTGCATTATTCCTAAAAAAAAATGGGGACCCGTTTATGGGGTGTCGCTATTGCCGTAACTATACTTCTGTTGACAAACTATGTGACAACGGTTTACGGAACAACGAAAGATACAACACACCAGGAACTTTCGTCGTCGGTTGCCGAAACTGAAACATCTACTAAAAATGATTCTGTTTTGTTGACCGAAGACAATGGGGTAAATGCTAGCTCGAATACAACTATTCCTTCTGTTATAATCGACAGCAATAAAAGTGTTACTAAAAACGATGTGGTTCAAGTAACTTCATCTACGGCCAATGTTTTAGTCGAAAATACTGCAACATCGACAGTCAGTTTGGATCAAATGAAAGGTAAAGAAGATGGACAGCTTGTTGTAACTAAAAAGACATTAGATATTAAGACAACATCTAGAACTGATTTGAAAGCAACGAAAACAAAAGAAGGTGAAAAACGATCATTGTCGCCAATAACCACTGAGAGTGATGAGAAAACAACCTTTACACCTGTAGATGTTGACGAAACAACATCAGATCTTCAAAAGATATCGGTTTCAAACTTAAAACCACAAAATCAAGATTTATTTTCTGTACTGAATGATCTGACCACACTTCCAACATCTTTGTTGAACAATACAAAACTCGAGGACTTGGATATACACCCAAGTCTTTCTAACGCGAGACAGGAAGGGCAACAGGAAAGAAATAATACCGTTAACATTTCTTCCAATATAAAACTACCAATGGAGGCAACATCACATCAAGAAAACCAAGTGGACGAAGGTAATTGGTCAGTAGAAGATCATTCCTCAAATCATTGGTCAGTGGAAGAACATTCCTCAAACGATAAGCCCATAAGTCGGAAAGAAGCTTCATATGACAAATTACTGAAGGAAAAGAAGTTTCCTGATAAAATGAAGTCAGAAAGACTAGCAAAACAGTTCAGTGTTCAAGCAAACTTATCTGGGAATAGAACAGTCCCTTGTGAATGTGATGGAATAGATACAACCAAACCTTTTGATAGTAGAAAGTGTTTTGCCGGACGTGTTACTGTCCTTCCAGGTTGTCCTTGTTGGAAAACTTGTGCTCGCCAAGCTGGACAAAGTTGTTCTTCTAATGAACCTTGTGATTTGGAATTTGGTCTTTATTGCGCCACGGACTCGGATATTTGTCAAGGTAAGACATGGTTTCAAAGACTTTTAATTTTTAACCATAAATATTGTACTATCCTTTGTTAGTCTAAATGTTAAACTAAAATGTAGCAAAAAATAAATGTAGGGTAGGCACAAAATGCAATGAATAGTGTTTAGGAATACATTGGCCAAGAAATACTTGAGAAACATAGTGAATCGGGAACCTTTAAATGGCACTGATTTCTCTAATATTAATAAAAGCCCTGTGTAAGATTGTCCCTTGTGTAACAGGCTGTAAATGTCTATTGGATGATATAGTTAAGACATTGTTTTAATGTTATCATTTTTTACGTACTATTATATTCAAATTTTGCTCAAATTGTTATTTTCAGATTTTATAAAAATCTGCGAATTCTTCCAACACTAAGATTTTTTTATTTACTATAAATAACTTTTTTTTTATGCTCCTTTCTTTAGCCCCAGTTTTATTCGAATTTCAGACGTTACAGTATTCACGAGCTATGTAACTAACTATTCACAAGCGGAAGTGTTTGTTAACTAAAGCTTACTTCGACATTCTAATTTCATGATTTCATTCAGTTGCATCTGTCTCATTTTAAGAAATGTAGTTGGGCAGGTATTTATATAAACAAATATTATAAGTATGAATATTTTATAATAGTTCGAACACTGGTGCATAAAGTGTATCGAGAGCAAAAAGTTTATAAGCGCATGGATTCCAAACAAATCTAATTGGTGCTAACGCTTGCCCGAGAGCTGGTGTGAAGTTTACTGTTGTGGATGAAATCAAAATAAGTTTTAAGACACTTTCTCATAGGAAATGAAATCCAGAATATGAAAATGATATTCTTACTTGTGCACAAGTAAAAAATGAATAAATGCTCGACTATGCTAGGCAGGGTGATGTTTCAAAAGTCAAAACACTTGGAAAGTAGGGGTAGGCCTAAAAATACAACACTAGTGGTTTTGATCAATTACTTACTATAGAAGACCTATTTTTGATGTTTATTTATTTGCAACAAACTAAATTTTTTAACAGAATAACAATTGTGGAAATAAGAGATCCTACGCGTGACGTCACAAGATGGTGGCGTTTCAGTCAACGCCGCCATATTGGACGTCAACATTTTCTACCAGCTATCAACAGTATCAATGAAAGATTACGCAAATCTTTACTAATTACATGATGTTAATGATAAATGTTTCTTCTGGAGAAAGAGAGTGATTTGAAACTATACAGCTATTAAATTCTCAATATATTTCTCTTTATGCATGGCTGTCTTCGAGAAGGCTTGGGTAGATAACACGATATTAGAAGACAAATTTGTCATTTTTCACTCAAAACGAATGTAAGCACTTGAGTTTAATATGGCGAAGTAAACTATAGATCACGTGTTTGTGACGTCACTACAAAAACCTTTATATGTAATAAGTAAAATTACCATATATGACAATTTCAAACAAAGTATTCTAATTCGAAACAGAACCTTGGAAATGTTAATGAGTTTGAAAAAAATGTTTTATAAATTTCAATGAAATGTTTAACAAATGGGGAGGGGAGGGGAGGGTATGTGTCGTCTCACATTCCTTGGGTGCAAAAAAAAAACCCTTCAACTTTTTGGCTTCGATCACAACATTAAATCTCTCGCCAACTCTCAGGCTACACCGGAAGTGTTAAAACATTGTATCATTTGTTGATTTAATTTCCAAACGCGAAACCATTTAAGTATGGAAAGTAGGGTTAATATTAAATTTTCACGTTATTTTTCTGCAACAATCTACTTGTATTTAGATTTTAATACCAAACTGAATTTCAAGTTGATTAACGGCATATAAGACCTTATCCAGTTTAAATTCGATGACGAGGAACCCACTTTGAGACTAATAATGGTTGGAGACGGCTTGAATGGGTAATGAAGAAAAACTTTAATATAAGTTTAACACAACAGCAAGTTGAGAAAGTTTAGCAAAATGCAAAAATGAATGTAATCCGTTACTCGTTTTTAACATCTAAAGATGACTAGGGCTTTCCAGTTTCTAAAAGAGGAACTTTAAAAACAATGCTACTTCGAGAAAAAACAAATACATTTTATGATTCGATATCGCAAGTAAATTTAGTTTGTAAGTGTAAATCGATCTCGTACGGCTCTGACTATTATTAATAGAAGTGTGAAACATAAATTGTATAAATGGAAGAAAGAAATACCAAAACGAAGCGATCCAGATTATAAGTTTATTTGAATGATATGAATCCTAATTTTACGAAGGGGGTCAGTGAACTGATTCTTTGTTTGAAAATCACCCGTTATCCAAGCATGCTAAAATGTAATTTTGAACAACCTGTTTGACGAGACTTTTGTTACTGACAAGTGTTTACTAACGGCGCAATTCGGTCTCGAATCGTGACTAATTTGGTCTCTTTGTTGGAACCATTAGATTAAGTATCTATATAATAATGACTTGTACAGATTAAAGTTAGACACTACAGTTCATTCAGTGCCTCGGAAGTTTGAAGGTTTTTAACGTTACAAAACGGGTTTCGATACCCGTGGTAACTTTGCTCTTAGCAATAAACATTACAATGTATTACCAACATCAATATCTGTTCGCATGTATGCATGTTAAGCCTATAACCTAAATTTATTTTGTGGACCGCATGTTAAACTCAAATTTGGGTTAAAATAAAAATATGTCTATGTATTTCGCGCAAAACTATTCGATGGCTAGCTGTCTCTAATTTTGAATTGGTAGACTAGAGGGAAGTGGCTAGTCAAAAACTACCCACCACCAACTCGTGGGCTACTGTAATCGAATAGTGGGATTTGACCATCATTCATTTATTGCACCCACGGCCACAAAGCGCGGGTCATGACGTGTCTGAGCGCGAATCATGGAACTTCGAATCCACAGTCCTACAACCTGAACACTAGGCCGCGCTCCGCCCCAAAATTATGCAATTTCATTTTATTCATAACTTGTTAAAATAAACCTTAATTTTGTTATTCACACAAAAATAAAGAAGTAATTTAGATTGCGTAGAGAACGAACATGGACCTTAGAAGTTGTTTTGAGGTAAAGCAAAAGAAAGACTTATAAATATTAAAAGATACAAGTCTTCAGCTCAGTGTGTCAGTATTTTAATTTTATTCCTTTTTAAAGTGAGCTATATAATAGATATTCAGTTCTCATTACCGACATCGAAATCGGTGTGTTGTCACACAAGGCATTAGTATTATTACACAAACAACAAAAATATTTGGGTGGTATGGGTGAGAGGTGGTATTACTAATGAAAATATATTATTTATATTATATAAGGGTAGTTTTTTAGTACTAACAAAATACCTTTCTTCCAAAAATTTAAGTTTTCAAGTTAAACTATTTTCTTTATATAGAACAATTTTAAAAAATGTCACTTTTTTTGACAGTTATTAAATGCGCAGTTAAACAGTGCAGATATGACATCATAAAAGCAACTGCCATGGTGTGTTAATCTTAAAAAATCAGAAAAAAACATTGTTTAATTAGAAGAGAAAATATGAGTGGTTTAGTATTGAATATTAATTTCCGACAAATGTATAATTAGCGAACCTCTATAATATATTTTTTTCCTCACCAAACTCTTCATTTCAAAGGTAAAACATTATTATGATTCTAGAACATATATACATGGATTCTGTGATTGTACGAAATAATGTACAGCCTAAACGAAAAGCTCTCAAACTGTGGTGACTATTTTTCCAGGATTCGTCTAGGCGTATTACGTCTATTACATTTGTTAAGTTTACACTTTACAGTTAGACTGCTAGCAATGTTAAGCGTCCATAATACACTACATGAAATCAGACGTAAACAAATCAAAGTGGTTGAAATCCGTGAGTCTTCATATATATCTATGTGTGTGTGTGTGTGTGCATTACTAGTATTTATGTAATTTACAGGCTTATAAACTTGATTTATTTTGCAAGTTAAGCTTCGTAGTAATTTTAAGAAGCATGTTACATATCTCGTTAACTTTTATAAACGCCCTGAGTAGTGGAATGTGGTTCGACGAGGAGATCATTAGAAATATTTGAGGTGATATACAAAAAAAAAAAAAAGGCTGTTGTCGAATGAGCTCTAAGGGTAAAATGAATAAAATATTCCTTCAGGTTATAGAACATCCGTTTAAGCCTACTTTTTTGTAAAGGGACTAAAAGGGCGTAAAACATAAGTTCGTACTGACATGTTCCAAGTATCTTCAAACAAGGGCATGTGTGTTCGCGGACAAACCTCTTACACGTCTGGAATGCGATGGCCTTGAAAGTGTCAAAATGCCAAGTGAGTCAAGTCTTACTTACTAGTCTGGCTACTGTTCTCCAATGAATAGGCAAATATCTTGCAATTTGTTACCCGACTTTGTAAAGACAAGTCAGAGGTTAAGTTTTTTGTTTGAAATAGATACAGGTTGGTAATGATTGTTACTGCGGGTAATTTGATATAAGGTTGTTGAGTATAAGTAGGGTTTTAACATTAAGGATTGTTTTCCGACTAAAAAGCCGTGTAATAATTTTATCTTATTATAGATTGTTGTCTGTGCCTTTAATTTTTCGTTAATTTTCCACTAACCAAAGGATTTCGTTAAATTAATTAATGAATAACTTTCATACCACATGAAAAAACAAACAAAAAAAAAAACAACAACAAAGGGCGTAAATATAATTTTTTTAAGGCTGTGCACGATAAATGGATGGGTTGTAGCACATGCTTACATTATCGAAGTATTGAGAGGAACCTGTTCGAATCTTTTTACAATGGCTGGCTCAATTTGGATACGATCAGTATCGTTTCGAACCAGAGAAGGCGAAACGACTGAGTTAAGATAGAATAGATAATAGGGCTATTATTAAATTTCGAACATATTTAATAAAATGTTTTGTGTTGCGTTTTGATAAACACACACCCTTAGACAAAAAAATATTCCATTTGATTGATTTCATTTGGAGAGTGATAATTCTTACCTCTTAACAGTATGAAAACTGAG